GTCAGTCATGTCTGACTCTGGGGTGTGGTGCTCATCTCCATTTCTAAGCCGAAGAGCCAGCGTTGTCCGTAGACACCTCCAAGGTCATGTGGCCGGCATGACTGCATGGAGCGCCGTTACCTTCCCGCCGGAGCGGTACCTATTGATGTACTCACATTTGCATGTTTTCGAACTGCTAGGTTGGCAGAAGCTAGGGCTGACAGCGGAAGCTCACGCCGCTCCCCGGAATCGAACCTGCGACCTTTCGATCAACAAGCTCAGCAGCTCAGTGCTTTAACCCACTGTGCCACCGGGGGCTCAACTTTCAAAATTTCATTATAAATGGCAGTTCCTAATAGGTTCTGTCATAAAAATCACCAATAATGAAATAATAATGAAATTTTGAAAGTTTTGTTAGAGTTCTGAAATTTTCACCACCAGAACTTTAGCAACACTGTAGAAGCAAAGCACCAGCGCCCCCTAGTTTTCACAACCAGAACTTTAGTTTTGTAAGTACTTTAGAACCATTTAGAACCATGGATTGCACATGCCTAATATATACCCTATGTAAAGGTAAAAGTTTCCCTGGCATTAAGTGTAGTCATGTCTGACTCTAAGGGGTGGTGCTCATCTCCATTTCTAACCTAAAGAGCTGGCGTTGTCCATAGACATCTCCAAGGTCATGTGGCCAGCATGACTGCATGGAGCGTGGTTACCATCTCACCAAAGTGGTACCTATTGATCTACTCATATTTGCATTTTTCCAACTAGGTTGGCAGAAGCTTGGCCTAACAGCAGGAGCTCACCTAGCTCCCTGGATTCAAACCGCAAACCTTTCGGTCAGCAAGTTCAGCAGCTCAGTGATTTAACCTGCTGCGTCATCAGTGATTGAATCTGCTGCTCTGGGCCAGAGTGAGAGTCGCGGCAGGGGGCAGGTCTACCTTGTCTCCTGTGCTATGCTAATAATATAATATAATTTAATATAACGTATATACCTATACATTTAATATAATACTAATAATAATATATTATAATTATATGTTTTCTATTACATGTAATATTACTAATAATATATCAATAATAATAATATGATATTATAATTACATATATTATATTACATATAATATTACAATATCATGGTATAATACGATATAGTAATATATAATACTGATATTGTACTATGCTAATATATAATAATTAATAAATAAAATAATAATAATAATAAAAATGTAATGTTCGTTTGTGGGATTAACAGAACTCAAAAACCACTGGACAAATTGACACCAAATTTGGACTCAAGACACCTAACAACCCAATGTATGTCCTTCACTCAAAAAAATGATTTTGTCATTTGGGAGTTGTAGTTGCTGGGATTTATAGTTCACCTACAATCAAAGAGCATTCTGAACTCCACCAACGATGGAATTGAACCAAACTTGGCACACAGTTCTCCCATGACCAACAGAAAATACTGAAAGAGTTTGGTGGGCAGTGTCCTTTGGTTTTGGAGTTGTAGTTCACCTATATCCAGATCACTGTGGACTCAAACAACGATGGGTCTGGACCAAACTCTACACGAAGACTCAATATGCCCAAATGTGAACACTGATGGAGTTTGAGGAACATAGAATCTTGACATTCGGGGGTTGTAGTTGCTGGGATTTATAGTTCACCAACAATCACAGAGCATTCTGAACCCTACCAACGATAGAATTGGGCCAAACCTCCCACACAGAACCCCCTTGTGGGTCACAGCAACGCGTGGCAGGGGACGGCTAGTGTGTGTATGTATGTGTGTGTGTATATATCTTGTAAGTCACTCTGAGTCCCCTTCGGGGTGAGAAGGGCGGCATATAAATGTTGTAAATAAATAATAAATAATAAATAAATCTAATGCTCACCTTAGAGTGTGCCTTAGATCCGCATCATACAGTCCTCTTTAGTGAAAAAAGAGAGGCTGTTTCAGGAGCTCCTCTTTGAGGGATGTCATCTCTAATTTAATAGTCATGGCTCAATGCTATGGGGTGTGGGATAACTATAAATTCCAGCAACTACAACTCCCAAATGACAAAATCATTTTTTTGAGTGAAGGACATACATTGGGTTGTTAGGTGCCTTGTGTCCAAATTTGGTGTCAATTCGTCCAGTGGTTTTTGAGTTCTGTTAATCCCACAAACGAACATTATGTTTTTATTTATATAGATATATATTATACAGTATACATAAGCTTTATATAATCTTTACTGTAGAAATGAGATTTGGGTTTTTCCTTTAACGCTTACAGCTCACAGTTGATTTTTGTGTAATTTCCTCTATAGCTGCTCCATATGGTTCATCACAAACCTCATTGTCAACAGATTTTTTCCTTAATTAGAAATGGATCAGTTTTAGTGATAATTACTGCAACTCAATCCACAAATTGTGGAAATTATGAACATTATTTTCCATATGAAACACCAAGGGACTACAGGCAACACACGCATGTGTCCCAACACAGTTTGGAAAGCTCTGGATTAGGATCTCAAACCATGAATGGATTAAATTATCAAGGAAGGGGATTCCGGCCTCCTTTCCAAGTCTATGACTTCCACCAGAATGTCTTCCCACTTCTCCTTTCTATCCAACAGGTTCATTTACCGCAAAATCGAATGGTGGCTGGACTGGTCTGTGGTGATGATAGCCGGAACGGCGATGCTGGTGACGTACTCATCCCTGCTCCTGGTACAATCTAGTCTCTTCTTCTGGGAATGGACCCCACAGTACCTTTATTGGGAAGCCCAGCTTTGGGATCGCAAACTCCCGGAGCCCCTTCTGTTTTGGGGGCTCTTCCCTCTGCTTTCTTTGCAACATAGAGGACTGCTTCAAGGTCCCTCAGACTGTTGGGGGGCTGGATTATAACATATTGTTTTTGTTGTTATCTACCTTCAAGTTGTTTCAGACTCAGGCAGCCCTCTCATAGAGTTTTATTGTTATTATTCAAAGGCATATTATTATTATTATGCTTTTATCTTCTGCTGAGGCTGAGAGAGTGGGCTTTGGCAAAAGTAATCCAGTGGATTCAGAGTCATGCTTTCTGGATACTTTCCCTCTCTTTTTCTACCTACCTTTTCTCTGTTTCCCTCTCTGTTTCCCAGCTTGCTACCTTTCTTCCTTTTCTCCTTCCTCTCTCCTTCCTTTTTTGCAATTTTTCCTTCCCTCCTTCTTCCTTCTTCCTCCCTTCCTTTCTTCTTTCCTTCCTTTCTTATTCTCTCTTTCCCTCTTCCCTCTTTCCCCTTCTCTCCCCCTTTTCCTTCCTTCCTTCCTTTCCTTCCTTCCTTCTTCTTTCCTCCTCCCTTTTCTCCCTTTCTTCCTTCCTTCCTTCCTCCCTTCCTTTTCTTCTTCCTTCCTTCCCCTTTCCTCCCTCCTTCTCTCTTCCCTCTTTCCTCCTCCTCCCTCTCTTTTCCCCTCTTTCTTTCCTTCCTTCCCTTTTCCTCCTTCCCTCCTCTTTTTTTCCTCCTTCCTTCCTTCCTTCTCCTCCTTCTTTCTTCCTTTTTCTCCCTCTCTCCCTTTTCTCCTTTTTTCCTTCCCTCTTTCATCCCTCCCTCCCTCTCTTTTCTCCTTCTTTCCTCCCTCTATCCCTCCTCTCCCTCTCTTTTCTCCTTCTTTCCTTCCTTCCCTTTTTCCTCCCTCCTTCCCTTCCTTCTTTCTCCTTCCTCCTTCTTTCCTCCTTTCCTTCCTTTCCTCCCTACTTTTCTCCTTCCTTCCTTCCTTCCTTCCTTCCTTCCTTCCCTCCTTCCTCCTCTCTCTTCCTTCCTTCCTTCCTTCTTCCTTTCCTCCTCCTCCCTTCCTCTTTTCTCCTCTTTCTTCCTTCCTTCTATCCTTCCTTCCCTTCTCTTTCTCTCTTTCCTTCTTTCCTTATTTTTCCTTCCTCCTCTCCTCCTTCCTTCCTTCTATCCTTCCTTCCCTTCTCTTTCTCTCTTTCCTCCTGTCCTTATTTTTCCTTCCTCCTCTCCTCCTTCCTTCCTTCCTTCCTTCCTTCCTTCCTTCCTTCCTTCCTTCCTTCCTCCCTCCCTCCCTCCCCTCCCCTCCCCTTCCTTCCTTCACTCCCTCTTTCCTCCTTCCCTTTTCTCCTTCCTTCCTTCCTTCCCTCTTTCCTCCCTGCCTCCCTCCCTTTTTTCTGCGAGCTGGTTGTGGCCCACAGGCTTTGGTTTAATGACCCCTGTCCTAACTGGTTTCAGTCTCATGGTTCAGGAATCCTATACCTTGCTCCCTTATTTATGGGATTTATTACTATCTCTCCAGGAGGGAGCCAAGGGTGTTGGCCGATACCCTTTTAAATGGTCATGATCTCAACGTGTCTTCCTGAGACAATCTATTTAATAGAATTGCCTTCTCTGTCAATATTATTATAACTTTAATTAGTCTCCTTGCAAGAGCCTTGAGCCCTGTTTTCTGAGCAGAAGGGAGGATAGATATAAATCAGGTTTGGAGCGAATGCCGCTGACTCAGCAAAGAGGGACGCTCTTAAGAGTTCCTCCAGGAAAACCAGAAATTACATCCAACTAATAAAAATGTCAGTGGTTGTTTCTGTTTTTAAGAGCCTTGGCTTCTTCCTTCCTTTCCTCAAGGCAGATCAAGAGATTGTGTTTGACAAGTTATTTGTTAGCATTTCTGTGCTTCAAAACACGGGGAAATGCAGATAATACATTTATTATTATTATTATTATTATTATTATTATTATTATTATTATTACGACTACTACAATAACATTAATATCTTTATTATTAAAAGGCCTCCACTAGGCATTTCAGCAATCATTCTAATATTGCTTTTGGATTGTTGTGAGTTTTCTGGGCTCTTTGTCCATGTTCTAGAAGCATTCTCTCCTGACGTTTCACCCACATCCACAGCAGGCATCGTCAGGTTGTGAGGTCCGTTGGAAACTAGGCAAATGAGGTTTATATATCTGTGGAATAATGTCCAGAGCGGGAGAAAGAACTCTTGTCTGTTGGAGGCAAGTGTAAATGTTGTAATTGGCCACCTTGATTAGCATTGAATGGCCTTGCAGCTTCAAAGCCTGGCTGATTGCTGCCGGGAAATCCTTTGTTTGGAGGTGTTCACTGTCCCTGATTGATTCTTCTCCGATGAACCAATGTGGACACAGAATATTATTTGAGAACACAAAAATGCTGAACCACTTTCACAACCACGATGTCAGACTACACAGAGAAGCCACTGACATACACAAGCACGTGGACAATTTCAATAGAAAGGAGGAAACCATGAAAATGAACAAAATCTGGCTACCAACATTAAAAACTCTGAAAACATAACAGTAAATAAAGAACAACACTCAAAAACACTTCCTAACAAAGGATTCCCTCTAGGCAGCAATCAGCCAGGTTTCGAAGCTACAAGGCCATTCAATGCTAATCAAGGTGGCCAATTGCAACATCCACACTTGCCTCCAACAGACAAGAGTTATTTCTCCCACCCTGGAGCTTCCATAGATATATAAACCCCATTTTCCTAGTTTCCAATAGACCTCACAATCTTTGAGGATGCCTGCCATAGATGCGTGCGAAATGTCAGGAGAGAATGCTTCTGGAACAAGGCCAGGAAAACTCACAACAACTCAAAACAAAAAAGTATTTGCTTCCGAATGTAATGTAGGGGATTGTGGGAATTGTCGTTCCAAAGCGGACTCTTCCCTAACAATAAAACCCTTGTCCTTCCCTTTCTAACCTTACTCTCTTTTTAACCCCAGCTTCTTGCGATCTGCCTCCAGCTCTGCCACCAACCTTTGAAGCTCCACTGGATCCACAAGGTAACCCTCCCGTGGATTTGAATTTCAAGCAAAGAGATGCCACTTAAACATTAGGAATTACACTTCTTGGAGAGTGGGGAACTTCCTCTCCTTTGGATGGCCATCTCTCAGGAGGGCTTTAGTTGTGTCTGGCAGAATGGGGCTGGACTAGATGACCTCTGAGGTCCCTTTCTGTCCTGCAAAGTTACCCAACCACCAAAAGCATCCTTCTGGCTTCATTCAATGCCGCAAAAGGCTGAGCTGTGCATTGCAGAAGTGGCATCATCCTCACTGAGAGGCCTTCATTGGTGTCTCCTAGAGCAGACAGGGGATGATGGGAGTTCTGAAGAGGTTGGGGAAGCCTGGTTCAGGACATCATGGGATCCTAGTGTTGGAAGGGAACCCCAAAGGCCATTCAGTCCAACCCCTGTCCTCAAGAAAACACAACCCAAGCCCTCCTGACAGATAGCCATCCAGCCTCTGAATAATACAGTATAATCCAAGAGTGAGAAGAGGGCCCAAAGGTCATCCAGTCCAACCCCATTTTGCAGGAAGACACCATTAAAGCCCTCCTGACAGATGGCCATCCAGCTTCTGCTTAAAAACCTCCAGAGAAGGAAACTTCAATACCATCCAAGGCAGTCTATATTCCACCAGAGTTGAAAAGTCCCCCAAAGGCCATCTAGTCCAACCCTTCTTCTGCCATTATGTAGCAAAACACAACCCAAGCACTCCTGACAGATGGCCATCTAGCCTCTGAATAATAGAACCCTAACTCCCAAGTTAATCCAGTCCAAACCCCATTCTGCCATTATGCAGGAAGACACCATTAAAGCCCTCCTGACAGATGGCCATCCAGCATCTGCTTAAAAACCTCCAGAAAAGGAAATTCCAACACCATCCAAGGCAGTCTATATTTCACCAGAGTTGGAAGAGGCCCCCAAAGGCAATCTAGTCCAACCCCTCTTCTGTCATTATGTAGGAAAACACAACCCAAGCCCTCCTGACAGATGGGCCATCCAGCCTCTGAATAATAGAATCCGAGAGTGAGAAGAGGCCCCTAAAGGTCATCCTGTCCAACCCCATTATGCAGGAAGACACCATTAAAGCCCTCCCGACAGATGGCCATCCAGCTTCTGCTTAAAAATCTCCAGAGAAGGAAACTTCAATACCATCCAAGGCAGTCTATATTCCACCAGAGTTGAAAAGTCCCCCAAAGGCCATCTAGTCCAACCCTTCTTCTTCCATTATATAGGAAAACACAACCCAAGCCCTCCTGATAGATCCAGCGTCTGAATAATAGAATTCTAGAGTTAGAAGAGGTCCCCAAAGGTCATTTAGTCCAACCCCCATTCTGCCATTATGCAGGAAACACCATTAAAGCCCCCCTGACAGATGGCCATCCAGCTTCTGCTTAAAAACCTCCAGAGAAAGAAAGTCCAACACCATTCAAGGCAGTCTATATTCCACTAGAGTTGGGAGAGGCCCCCAAAGGCCATCTAGTCCAACCCCTCTTCTGCCATTAAGTAGGAAAACACAACCCAAGCCCTCCTGACAGATGGCTATCCAGCCTCTGAATAATAGAATCCTAGAGTTAGAAGAGGGCCCCAAAGGTCATCCAGTCCAACCCCATTTTGCAGGAAGACACCATTAAAGCCCTCCTGGCAGATGGCCATCCAGCTTCTGCTTAAAAATCTCCAGAGAAGGAAACTGCAACACTCTCCAAGGCAGTCTGTATTCCACCAGAGTTGGAAGAGGCCCCCAAAGGCCATCTAGTCCAATCCCTCTTTTGCCATTATGTAGAAAGGTACAATCCAAACCCTCCTGACAGATGGTCAGATGGTCTCCAGAGAAGGAGACTCCACCAGAATCCGTGTCGGATGGAGCCTTTCCAACCAGTTGCTGGATGCTTCCGTTTCTCCGTTTCTTCCTTCCAGGTCCTGCTGATCCTTACTGTTCTTGTGTTGGCCGCTGCTTTTGTGGGTCTAGAAGTCCAGTGGTCAGAGCAATGGGAAAGTGCCCACATCTCCCTGCAGGTAAGACCTTGCAGCTTACACATTAACTCCGTGAATAATATGGATAAGGTAGAATAGTCCCAGTTCATCCCTTGCCATCCCGCTTTCTTAGCAGCTTGTAAAACATCCCGGTTTCTCCCTCCCTTTCCCCTTTGTCCTCAGCTTGCTTCCATTACTGCAAAGGGATGGTGAAGAAAATGATCTTTATCACAGCCCTGCAAGGTGGAAAACCTTCAGGGCCATTTGCTGGGCAAGCCATCTAAACACGGGAGCATTCTTTGCATTGCATTCCGCCTCCGAACCCCTGGCTGGGAGTATTGATACTGGATGATGTTTAGGGTTGACTCCCAGTAAAGACAATAGGAAACAAGTCAGACAGGTTGCAGATGTGGGGTTGGTGCATACTTTGAGACTTAGAAGAGAGGGAAAGCTGCCAATAATAGTATTATACTATGGTTGCAGGCCAGTACTGGTTTTAATAGTAGTCGTAATAGTAGTAGTAGTACAGCAGCAGCAGCAATAATAATAATAATAATAATAATAATAATAATAATAATATTTTTTGTCGTGTCAGGAGTGACTTGAGAAACTGCAAGTCACTTCTGGTGTGAGAGAATTGGCCGTCTGCAAGGACGTTGCCCAGGGGACGCCCGGATGATTTTGATGTTTTTATCATCCTTGTGGGAGGCTTCTCTCATGTCCCCGCATGAGGAGCTGGAGCTGATAGAGGGAGCTCATCCGCCTCTCCCGGATTTGAACCTGCGACCTGTCGGTCTTCAGTCCTGCCGGCACAGGGGTTTAACCCCTGCGCCACCGGGGGCTCCATAATAATAATAATAATAATAATAATAATAATAATAATAATATAGTATGGATGCAGTCCAGTGCTACATTTAATAGTAGTTGTAGTATTAGCGGTATTATTATTATTATTATTATTATTAATAATAATAATAATAATAATAAAGCTGAGGATAATAATAATAAATATGAGGATTTAAATATCGAACCCAAAGACCCTGGCACAAACCAGTAAAGGTGGTCCCAGTGGTGATCGGCACACTGGGTGCAGTGCCTAAAGACCTTGGCCTGCACTTAAACACAATCGGCGCTGACAAAATTACCATTTGCCAGCTGCAAAAGGCCACCTTACTGGGATCTGCACACATTATTCTCTGATACATGACACAGTCCTAGACACTTGGGAAGTGTCTGAGATGTGATCCAATTCCACAGCCGGCAGAGTGTCTGCTGTGGACTCATCTTGTTGTGTTTAGAAGAAGAAGAGGAAGAGGAAGAGGAAGAGGAAGAAGAAGAAGAAGAAGAAGAAGAAGAAGAAGAAGAAGAAGAAGAAGAAGAAGAAGAAAGAGAAAACTGGAAAAAGAAGGGTCTCCGGGTACAGTTCCTGGGGAAAAATGAGAGCAAAATTGACAAAGAAAAAACATGGCTGTGGCTCACAAATTGAACTTTGAAAAAGGAGATGGAGGGCCTGATTCTGGCAGCCCAAGAACAAGCCATTAGAACCAATGCCATCAAAGCCAGAATTGAAAAGTCGATGACAGATACCAAGTGTAAGCTCTGCAAGGAAGCATACGAAATGATGGATCACATTCTCAGCTGCTGCAAGAAGATCGTGCGGACAGACTATAAGCAGAGGCATAATACTGCTGCTCAGATGATCCATTGGAACTTGTCCCACAAATATCATCTGCCTGTGACAAAGAACTGGTGTGATCACAAACCTGAAAAAGTCACACAAAATGAACACGTCAAACTACTCTGGGACTTCTGAATTTAGACTGAAAGAATTTTGGAGCTCAAGACTCCTGACCTCAAGACAAAGTATGTATCGTCGATGTTGCAATCCCAGACGACAGCAGAATTGACAAGAAACAACTGGAAAAGCTTACATAATATGAGGATTTAAAGATCAAACTGCAAAGACTCTAGCACAAGCCAGTCAAGGTGGTCCTAATGGTGATCGGCACACTGGGTGCAGTGCCTAAAGACCTTGGCCTGCACTTAAACACAATCGACGTGGACAAAATTACCATCTGTTTACTGCAAAAGGCCACCCTACTTGGATCTGCATGTATTATTTGCCGATACATCACACAGTTTTAGACACTTGGGAAATGCCTGGTGTTGATTCAATATAAAAGCCAGCATGTTTTGTTTGCTGTGTACCAATCTTGTTGTGTATCAAATAATAATAGCACTGGGTTGTTGTAGGTTTTTTCGGGCTATGTGGCCATGGTCTAGAGGCATTCTCTCCTGATGTTTCGCCTGCATCTATGGCAAGCATCCTCAGAGGTAGTGAGGTCTGTTAGAACTAGGAAAAAGGGTTTATATATCTGTGGAATGACCAGGGTGAGACAAAGGACTCTTGTCTGCTGGAGCTAGGTGTGAATGTTTCAACTGACCACCTTGATTAGCATACAATGGCCTGACTGTGCCTGGAGCAAACTTTTGTTGAGAGGTGATTAGATGTCCTTGTTTGTTTCCTCTCTGTTGTTGTGAGTATTAAAAAACTCTAAAATTGCAACAGCACAACAACAGAGAGGAAACAAACAAGGACATCTAATCACCTCTCAACAAAAGTTTGCTCCAGGCACAGTCAGGCCATTGTATGCTAATCAAGGTGGTCAGTTGAAACATTCACACCTAGCTCCAGCAGACAAGAGTCCTTTGTCTCACCCTGGTCATTCCACAGATATATACACCCTTTTCCTAGTTCCAACAGACCTCACTACCTCTGAGGATGCTTGCCATAGATGCAGGTGAAACGTCAGGAGAGAATGCCTCTAGACCATGGCCATATAGCCCGAACAAAACCTACAACAACCCAGTGATTCCGGCCATGAAAGCCTTTGACAATACATTAAAAATTCTAGTTATACATGAGTATGTACAGTATGTGATTTTGTGATACGAAATCCAGCATATATATCTCATTTGCTGTGACATACTGTGTTTTTCTGTCAGTAAAATAATAATAATAATAATAATAATAATAATAATAATAATAATAACAATAACAACAACAACAATATATTGTGGATGCAGGCCAGTGCTGATTTTAATAATAACAATAACAACAACAACAACAATATAGGTACAGGCCAGTGCTGGTTTTCATACTACTACTACTACTACTACTACTGCTACTCTACTGCTAATATAATATTGTGGATGCAGATAGTGTTGATTGAAACCAGCAAAATTTTCTAACAGTGTAGAGATTTGTGATTTACTTTTTTAATGGTGGCTTTAAAAGAGTGCTGTACTGCTTTAAAGATGTTTTTTTTTAAAAAAAAACATTTTAACTTGTTAAAAAAATGGCTGTTTTAAACTGTTTATAGTGTTGTTAACTATAGCAGCTCAATTCTGCCTCATTGCTGCCTTTTAGTATGTGCTTACCGGTAACTAGATCGCACTCCTTTTAATTTAATTAGCTGTCTAGCTCTTTGGGGAAAGGCAGAATGTAAATAAAGGTTAGTCGTTGCAATTGGATTTTAGTCCTATAAGGCCAAGTTAGAACGCAGTTTGCATGTTAAGTTGACATTGCAGAGTTGAATTCTTCCTTCTCTTCTGCCAGGCTTTGGGTCCCTTCTTGCACATCGGAGCCGTGTTTGGCATGACCCTTTTGGCCTGGCCGGTCGCCAGCTGCGTTTACAGGACGTCCTCCAAAGGTACAAGGGAAGCCAGTTATGGGGTTTTATGTGATGTTTCTGGGCTGCAAGGCTTTGCAAGACTAGAAGTGCTGTTCCCCCTAATGTCCAACAGATAGCGCTATTGCATTGCGGTAGCCAACTCTTGAAATACAGGTCTTCCTGCTCGATAATGCCATAAAAATTGCACTGAAAGACCAGAAAAATTCCTAGAGAGGTCATATTTTGTTGACCTATGAAGTCCATTTTGAAAACAAAGGTGGGAAAAGCATTCCCCCGGAGACATCATTATCCTAAGCACAATGCCAAGAATCAAATCCCTCACAACCCTTCAGACCTCACAACCTTTGAGGATTTTTTTTTGTCATGTCAGGACTTGAGAAACTGCAAGTCGCTTCTGGTGTGAGAGAATTGGCCGTCTGCAAGGACGTTGCCCAGGAGACGCCTGGATGATTTGATGTTTTTATCATCCTTGTGGGAGGCTTCTCTCATGTCCCCGCATGAGGAGCTGGAGCTGATAGAGGGAGCTCATCCGCCTCTCCCCGGATTCGAACCTGTGACCTGTCGGTCTTCAGTCCTGCCGGCACAGGGGTTTAACCCACTGCGCCACCGGTGGCTCCGAACTTTGGGTTGTTGTAGGTTTTTTTTGGGGGGGGGCTATATGGCCATGTTCTAGAGGCATTCTCTCCTGACGTTTTGCCTGCATCTATGGCAAGCATCCTCAGAGGTAGTGAGGATGCTTGCCATAGATGCAGCCGAAACGTCAGGAGAGAATAGATGCCATACAGAGGCGGTCCCTAGGTAATTTTCAATGGTAAGCAAACAGTATTTTGGCGCCCCCCCCCCCCCAACCAATCATTGAGATATATTTTCTGTTTGTCATGGGAGTTCTGTGTGCCATATTTGGTTCAATTCCATCATTGGTGGAGCTCAGAATGCTCTTTGATTGTAGGTGAACTATACATCCCAGTAACTACACTTGCCGCACTTGCTCCCTTGCCTGGCCCGCTTTGGGTCCGGAGGCGTGCCTGAAGACCCCGCGTGTGCACCAAAAGTCACCTCTTCTCCTGACTTTCTCCTCAGCCATTGGGACCGGGAGAGAGAGAGAGAGAGGTGGAGATGCCCACCTTTCCTGAAGGTAGGCGCAAAAACAAAGGAGGGAGCGGAGGTGGGAGATACCTCCAGCCGGAGGGGCTCTCTCTCTCTCTCTTGGTCCCAATGGCTGAAGAGAAAGTCAGGAGAAGAGGCGACTTTTGGTGCGCACGCTGGGGTCTTCAGACACGGGAAGAGGATTGCCCAGCAGCGAGGCAAGAAAGCCGAGGCTCACCCCAGACTGCTAGGGCTGTTGTGAGCTGAGGGCGCTCCTCAAGTGGCGGTCGAGGGGCATTTACAGAAGCGCCTCTGTGCCCTTGGCAAAAAAAAGTGTTCTGCAACCGCTTACTCCGCGTAATGGATGAGCCGCCCCTGGCCATATGGCCCGAAAAACCTACAACAACCCAATAAAATCCCTGTTTTTCATACAACAGAACCTGACTTCCCTGCACAAAATCCAAAACTCCAAAATTGAGAAAAGGAGGCATACACCATCTCTTTCCATAGAGCAGTGTTTCTCAACCTGGGAGGTTGTGAGGGGGTGTCAGAAGGATTATCAAAGACCATCAGAAAACACAGTATTTTCTGTTGGTCATGGGGGTTCTGTATGGGAAGTTTGCCCAATTCTACCGTGGGTGAGGTTCAGAATGCTCTTTGATTGTAGGTAAACTATAACTCCAGCAATGACAGCTCCCAAATGTCAAGGTCTATTTTCCCCAAACTCCACCACAGTGTTCATATTTGGGTATATTGAGTATTCATGCCAAGTTTGGTATGGATCCATCATTGTTTGAGTCCACAGTTCTCTCTGGATGTAGGTGAACTACAACTCCAAAACGCAAGGTCAGTGTCCACCAAACCCTTCCCGTATTTTCTGTTGGTCATGGGAGGTCTGTGTGCCATGTTTGGTTCAATTCCATCATTGGTGGAGATCAGAATGCTCTTGGATTGTAGGTGAACTATAAAACCCAGCAACTACAACTCCCAAATGACAAAATCACACACACACACCTCACCAGTATTCAAATTTGGGTGTATTTGGTATTTGTGTCAAATTTGGTCCAGTGAATGAAAATACATCCTGGATATCATATATGTACATTGCGATTCATAACAGTAGCAAAATAACAGTTATGAAGTGGCAACGAAAATAATTTTATGAGTGGGGGTCACCACAACATGAGGAACTGTATTAAGGGGTCGTGGCATTAGGAAGGTTGTGAAACACTGCCATAGAGCATGGCGGGTGGGCCGGACTCCTCTGGTCTCCCACACTTTTTTGGATTATAATAAGGGCTCTTACATAGCAATATTTCACTGATATAGATGCCTTTCCAGCCTGAAACATCCTGGCTCCATTTCAGTTTCCTTGACAGATGTTGATTCTTCTTAATTGGTGTTAGTAAATGCAAGCCTTGTGTTGACTTCCTTCTTAACGTAAGGATCCTGTAAACATTTCCTTAACTGAAAAGAGCCATTGACTCTGATTAATGTAAACACGTTTTTCCCCACAAAAGCTCAATAGTTAATCATTTTTCACAGTTCTTATCAACGTCAGCAGTTCAGCAACTTTTAATTACAGTTCAGCAAGCAGTTAGTCATTGCAGGTCTTAATATTTTTGAATGGTGCCTTCAAAATTATTTGCTCTCATTCATTCCTTCATTTCATTCAGTTCATTTAAGCCAGTGTTTCTCAACCTGGGGGTCGGGACCCCTGAGGGGGTCGCGAAGGGATGTCAGAGGGGTTGCCAAAGACCACAGAAAACACAGTATTTTCTGATGGTCATGGGGATTCCATGTGGGAAGTTTAAGCCAATTCTATCGTTGGTGGAGTTCAGAATGTTCTTTGATTGTAATGAACTATAAATCCCAGCAACTACAACTCCCAAAAGTCAAGGTCTATTTTCCCCAGGCTCCACCAGTGTTCACATTTGCGCATATTGAGTATTTGTGCCAAGTTTGGTCCAGATCCACCATTGCGTGAGTCCACAGTGCTCTCTGGATATAGGTGAACTACAACTCCCAAACTCAAGGTCAATACCCACCAAACCTTTCCAGTGTTTTCCGTTGGTCATGGGAGTTCTGTGTGGCAAATTAGGTTCAAATCCATCGCTGGTGGAGTTCAGAATGCTCTTTGATTATAGGTGAACTATAAATCCCAGCAACTACAACTCCCAAATTACAAAATCAATCCTCCCCCAACCCCACTAGCATTTACATGTGGTTGCATTGGGTATTTGTGCCCAGTTTGGTCCAGTGAATGAAAATACATCTTGCATATCTGATATTTACATTATGATTTATAACAGTAGTAAAATGACTACGAAAACAATATTATGGTTGGGGGTCACCACAACATGAGGGACTGTATTAAGAGGTCACGGCATTAGGAAGGTTGAGAACCACTGATTTAAACCATGTATCATATTTTCGTGACAAAACCCCACAGATCCACCAGAGTTGCCCTGTGGGTGAGGGATAGCCCAACTTGGAGGCCTTCAGGTAGATGCCCAGCCTGGTCGCCAGCCTGGAGATGGAAGCCCATAGCCTCTGACAAGCCAAAGCACCTCTTGTTGGCCTCTCAGTGTCTCTTTCTGCCGTCTCTTCCCATAGCCCTCAAGAGCCTTCTCCTGCTGCTGTACCTGGCTGCCCTGCTGGCTCTGTATTTGGCTCCACTTGGAATCGACTCCCCTTGCTTCATGGAGCACCGCGAGCTGCCTCCCAAACCAGCTCTCTTTGGGCACCGGGGAGCCCCCATGGTGAGTCCCCAGTGCCTCCTTCCCGATTCCCTTCCGGGGTGATTTCCACCGTTTTGTCAGGGCTTGTGATGATGCTGAAGATGAGTCCGGGGCAAACAGAGAGCAGCGACCTAGAATCATAGAATCATAGAATCAAAGAGTTGGAAGAGACCTCATGGGCCATCCAGTCCAACCCCCTGCCAAGAAGCAGGAATATTGCATTCAAATCACCCCTGACAGATGGCCATCCAGCCTTTGTTTAAAAGCTTCCAAAGAAGGAGCCTCCACCACACTCCGGGGCAGAGAGTTCCACTGCTGAACGGCTCTCACAGTCAGGAAGTTCTTCCTCATGTTCAGATGGAATCTCCTCTCTTGTAGTTTGAAGCCATTGTTCCGCGTCCTAGTCGCCAGGGAAGCAGAAAACAAGCTTGCTCCCTCCTCCCTGTGGCTTCCTCTCACATATTTATACATGGCTATCATATCTCCTCTCAGCCTTCTCTTCTTCAGGCTAAACATGTCCAGCTCCTTAAGCCGCTCCTCATAGGGCTTGTTCTCCAGACCCTTGATCATTTTAGTCGCCCTCCTCTGGACACATTCCAGCTTGTCAATATCTCTCTTGAATTGTGTTGCCCAGAATTGGACACAATATTCCAGATGTGGTCTAACCAAAACAGAATAGAGGGGTAGCATTACTTCCCTAGATCTAGACACTATGCTCCTATTGATGCAGGCCAAAATCCCATTGGCTTTTTTTGCTGCCACATCACATTGTTGGCTCATGTTTAACTTGTTGTCCACGAGAACTCCAAGATCTTTTTCACACGTACTGCTCTCGAGCCAGGCTTCCCCCATTCTGTATCTTTGCATTTCGTTTTTCCTGCCAAAGTGGAGTATCTTGCATTTGTCACTGTTGAACTTCATTTTGTTAGTTTTGGCCCATCTCTCTAATCTGTCAAGATCACCTGAAACTGAGAAAGCTACCCTTGCAAAGCAAGACTAGGAGCCTTGGGGAAGTAGGGACGCCGAGTTAGGGCAAGATCAGGAGCTCCAGGAAGCATTCCAGTTAGGGTGCAAATTGCAATTAAAGACTGGCACAGAGGAAGGTCAACAGAGACTTAGGAAAGTGGCAAAAATAGCTGGAGGTTGGAGCTAGTAGTTTGCTGGGAGCAACATTGTGAAACCGCTACAGCCCAAATCTCTATTAGTGAACTCTTAGATGGAACTTTGACTTCAATGTCTATGGCTTGAGTTGATGAGATTCACATGTTTTTTTCCTTGTTGGACTGATTGCTGTATATGATTTTGGACTGCCTTTGACTACGAGGCAGTGAGACGCTGTGTACAGGTCTTTGACACGTTGGCTTTGGCCAGTGGCATTGATAATACCAGCCCTGTCAGTGCCCTTCGACACCCAAATGCCTCTGTTCCCCTGTGCCGTCCTTCTCAAAATAGTGGCAGGAAGCCTGGCCATTTTGAGAGGAACTCCAGAGGAAATAATAATAATAATAATAATAATAATAATAATAATAATAATAATCACAACAGCAAAACAACAGAGGGGAAACAAACAGGCACATAAAATCACTCTCAACAAGGGATTCCCCCCGAGCACTTCCAAGCCATTGAATGCTAATCAAGGTGATCAGCTGAAACATTCACATCTAGCCCCAGCAGACAAAAGTCCTTTGTCTCACCCTGGTCATTCCACAGGTATATAAATCCATTTTTCCTACTTCCAACAGGCCTCACTACCTCTGAGGATGCTTGCCATAGATGCAGGCGAAACGTCAGGAGAAAAATTGCCTCCAGAACATGGCCATATAGCCCGGAAAAACCTACAACAACCCAATAATACTTTATTTATAATGTATTGTCGAAGGCTTTCATGGCCGGTATCACTGGGTTGTTGTAGGTTTTTTGAGGCTATATGGCCATGTTCTAGAAGCATTCTCTCCTGACGTCCTTAGAGGTAGTGAGGTCTGTTGGAACTAGGAAAATGGGTTTATATATCTGTTTATATATCTTCTTTGTCCCACCCTGGTCATTCCACAGATATATAAACCCATTCTCCTAGTTCCAACAGACCACACTACCTCTGAAGATGCTTGCCATAGATGCAGGCGAAATGTCAGGAGAGAATGCCTCTAGAACATGGCCATATAGCCTCAAAAAACCTACAACGACCCACTTTATTTATATTCCGCTCTATCTCCTCAAAGGGACACAGGGCGGATTCCAAACATAAAAGGCAAACATTCAATGCCTGAATAGAACAACAATACATCCATATTAACAAAATTAATACAACCTAACATATAAATACGAATTATAGCTTAACAAACTAAAATTAAATGAAAAGCACAGACTTAAGACAAAACATTAAATGGAAACAATGATTTCCCATTTCTTTGGGGCAAATTGATTAATCATTGCTCAAGATATTTATTGAGCTGGTAGGGTGAGCAGGGCATGGATACGGATGGAAACTATTAATCAGAGGTATAATGGTAGAATTAGCAACTACGATTCCTCCTCCTCGTAAGCCAGTGAGCAAAGGTATGTCTTCAGCTGTTTTTTGAAAGCGGGGAGGGAGGGGGCCATCTTTAACTCCTTAGAAAGGGAGTCCCAGAGGTGGGGGGCAGCCACGGAGAAGGCCCTTTCTCTCGTTCCCACCAGCTATGCTTGGGATAGGGGTGGAACTGAGTGGAGGACCTCCTCCGATGACCGCAGTGTCTGAGTTGGTCTGTAGAGAGAGATGCGGTTTGTCAGATAGGAAAGTAGACGTATTTGGCTTTGTTCCAGGGAAGTCATGCTACCCCTCTATTGTGCTTTGGTTAGACCACACCTGGAATATTGTGTCCAATTCTGGGCACCACAATTCAAGAGATATTGACAAGCTGGAATGTGTCCAGAGGAGAGTGACTAAAATGATAAAGGGTCTGCAGAACAAGCCCTATGAGGAGCGGCTTAAGGAGCTGGGCATGTTTAGCCTGAAGAAGAGAAGGCTGAGAGGGGATATGATAGCCATGTATAAATATGTGAGAGGAAGCCACCGGGAGGAGGGAGCAAGCTTGTTTTCTGCTTCCCTGGAGACTAGGACGCGGAACAATGGCTTCAAACTACAAGAAGGAGATTCCATCTGAACATGAGGAAGAACTTCCTGACTGTGAGAGCCGTTCAGCAGTGGAACTCTCTGCCCCAGAGTGTGGTGGAGGCTCCTTCTTTGGAAGCTTTAAAACAGAGGCTGGATGGCCATCTGTCAGGGGTGATTTGAATGCAATATTCCTGCTTCTTGGCAGGGGGTTGGACTGGATGGCCCATGAGGTCTCTTCCAACTCTTTGATTCTATGATTCTATGAGAGGAGTGGAGCCATTGAGGAATTGGGGGGGGGGGGGGGGAGTGGCCTCTGGGCTCCACATATAGTTGCCCATTCCTGACCTAGAACAGATTGATGGAGCACCACTCATGAACATCAAAAGGCCCCTTTTGTGGCTACGCTAGTCAGTTGTTGGATCTCCCTTATTGATAATGGTAGAATGGGAATGTTTGGGGAGAGGCTGGGCACATTTGTAGCGTGGTAGGCACAGCCTCAGATGTTTGCTGTGAACCATTAGTATGCTTAGATCATGTTCTTCAGCCAATGGACTCATCATCATAAGTGATCAATCCCTCATTTTCCATTAGTTTGATTGTCTTCCGAGGGTAGAGTCTTGGCGTTGAGTCTGTAAGTGACTGTAGAGACTTACTCTGGATCCACATGATGGTCTTTCACAATGAGGGCATAGATTTACAAATAGAAGGAGGTCCTGACAAGGGTTTGTCTTCCTCTTGGCACATTTCTCCCTTTCACCTTCTGTTCATGCCTCTTCGAAATCTACATTGACACTACATTAGCCACCCACTCTCTTCTTCTAGCTCGCCCCCGAAAACACGATAATGTCGTTCCAGAAGGCCCTCCATTATGGCGTGAGCGTCTGGGAGACGGACCTCCTGGTCAGGTAAGGGGCAGAATGGACCGTTGAACCATCATTCAAGAGATGGCTTGAATGATGGCTGAACTTTTTTCAGGACCCTTCCTAGGCATCAACGATCCTCCTGCTATTGGGATGAACTCTCCTCTTCCTTCCCTCCAGTGCCGATGGCGTTCCCTTCCTCATGCATGATGAGAAACTCACCCGGACCACCAATGTGCAGGCCATCTTCCCTGATCGGGCGCATGCCAATGCCTCTTCCTTCCAGTGGAATGAGCTAAAGCAGCTGGATGCCGGCACATGGTTCATGCAGGTGAGAACCCAACAGGTAAGGGTGGGTAGCTAATGCCTGTCCATTTGGGTGGCCTGCTCTTACTGGCTTTCTCTGTCCTACCAGAAACCCCCCTTCCTCATGATCCAGGGCCTTTCGAGCGACGATCGGTTCCTGGCAGCTGCCCAGCGGATCATATCCCTGAAGTACCTTCTCCGCGAGGCCAAGAAGCACAACGTGTCCATCATGTTCGACCTGCGGCCGGAGGAGGACCCCAAGTATGAGCATCTTGTCAACGTCACTGTGGAGACCATCCTGCAGTCAGGCATCGCTCCAGAGCAGGTGAGCAGCCCTCCCTGCCATGGGGTTTCTGATGTGTCACTCCTGTATCAGAGGCAGGCCTGAGGAGTTTGAGCAGAGCCATCCTCATATCCAAAATAGATGGGTCACTAGTTACAAAGGGGAGTATGGGGCTGCATTCTGGCATGGCTTAGTATAGTGTTGCGGTAGATGATGTTGTTGTTCATTCATTTAGTCGTTTCCGACTCTTCATGACCTCCTGGACCAGCCCACGCCAGAGCTCCCTGTCGGCCGTCACCACCCCCAGCTCCTTCAAGGTCAAGACAGTCACTTCAAGGATCCCATCCATCCATCTTGCCCTTGGTCGGCCTCTGTTCCTTTTTCCTTCCACTTTCCCCAGCATAATTATATTTTCTAAGCTTTCCTGTCTCCTCATGATGTGGCCAAAGTACTTCAACTTTGTCTCTACTATTCTTCCCTCCAATGAGGAGTCGGGCTTTATTTCTTGAAGTATGGACTGGTTGGATCTTCTGGCGGTCCAAGGCACTCTCAGTACTTTCCTCCAACACCACAGTTCAAAAGCATCTTTCTTCCTTTGCTCAGTCTTCCCTATGGTCCAGCACTCACATCCATAGGTGACTATGGGGAATACCATCGCTTTAACTATGCGGATCTTCATTGCCAGTATGATGTCTCTACTCTTCACTATTGGTGGTAGATGACGTTGAGCCATTTGCCACCCCTTGGGTTTATTACACTATGTAACAAAATTTGAAAAATGTTTTGTTCCTGGTTTGAAAGTGTTATTTCCTGTTTAATTGTGCGGTCCTTGCTTTGAAAGTAGTTGTTCAACTCCAGAAACTTTGTTATAGTGGCTGCCACAAACTATCTTGAATTGGTTTGGACTCTCTTAGATACTCATTGAAAAAAATATAGCATAATGTGCTGCAGGATGTCCCTCCCACAAAAACAAAGTGTTGACAGTTTAATGAACTTTTTCCCATGTTTTTAATGATAGTACCAATAAGGAAATTGCATTTATAACCCAGGAACAAAAATCCTGTTACATAGTGTTATTGAGGTGTCAAAGTGCCAACAGTAATGGCCTTTCCATGTCTTTTGGAGAGCAGAAGGGGGGATGGATCTGGTTATGTCACCATGTTGTTGTTGTTATTTATTCGTTCAGTCATTTCCAACTCTTGGTGCCCTCCTGGACCAGGCCAGAGCTCCCTGTTGGCTGTGGTCACCCCCAGCTCCTTCAAGGTCAAGCCAGTCCCTTCAAGGATACCATCCATCCACTTTGCCCTTGGTTGGCCCCTCTTCCTTTTTCCTTCCATTTTCCCCAGCATAATTTTCTTCTCCAAGCTTTCCTGTCTCCTCATGATGTGGCCAAAGTACTTCATCTGTGCCTCTAATATCCTTCCCTCCAGTGAGTAGTCAGGCTTTATTTCCTGGAGAATGGACTGGTGGTTCTGTGATCTGTTCTTACTATTGCCACTTGGTCTGTCAGGAGATAGACAAGGTGACTTGGTCTCCCCATACCACTAAGAACTTGCCACAATTTATTATGAGCCACATAGTCAAAGGCTTTAGAGTAGTCAATAAAACAGAAATAGATGCTTTTTCTGAAATTCCCTGCCTTCATAGAATCATAGAACCATAGAGTTGGAAGAGACCACGTGGGCTACCCAGTCCAACCCCCTGCCAAGAAGCAGGAATATTGCATTCAAAGCACCACTGACAGACGGCCATCCAGCCTCTGTTTAAAAGCTTCCAAAGAAGGAGCCTCCACCACACTGCGGGGCAGAGAGTTCCACTGCTGAACAATTCTCACAGTCAGGAAGTTCTTCCTAATGTTCAGATGGAATTTCCTTTCTTGTAGCTTGAAGCCATTTTTCCATTGCGTCCTAGTCTCCAGGGAAGCGGAAAACAAGCTTACTCCCTCCTCTATGTGACTTCCTCTCACATATTTATACATGGCTATCATATCTCCTCTCAGCCTTCTCTTCTTCAGGCTAAATATGCCCAGCTCTTTAAGCCGCTCTTCATAGGGCTTGTTCTCCAGACCCTTGATCATTTTAGTCGCCCTCCTCTGGACACATTCCACCTTGTCAATATCTCTCTTCAATTTTGCCCAGAATTGGACACAATATTCCAGGTGTGGTCTAACCAAGGCAGAATAGAGGGGGAGCATGACTTCCCTAGATCTAGACACTATGCTCCTATTGATGCAGAAGGACAATACCAGCCTCCACTGCAACCCAAACTTGATCTAACCACATGTGGGGCTGGTTTGTGTAAGGATGTTCATAGGATGTTAGTCTATGTTTTGGATTGGAAGGCATTCCACGCTCAGTCCTTTCCCACCTCCACCTGCGCTCTTCCATGTTTTTAAAGAAAAACCTGCTTGACACCTTCGCTCTTGTCTATAGGGCACAAGGGCCGCACACAGCCTTCTCTTCTTCATGCTAAACATGCCCAGCTCTTTAAGCTGCTCCTCATAGGGCTTGTTCTCCAGACCCTTGATGAGTGGCTTAAAGAGCTGGGCATGTTTAGCCTGAAGAAGAGAAGGCCGAGAGATGACATGATGAGGACCATTGATCAAGAGATGAGGCAAAGTCATAGGGAGGAGGGAGCAAGCTTGTAGTTCCATGTAAGACACAGGTAGTTCCATGTAAGACTAATGTGGCAGAGGGTGGGAAGGAGCAAAGGCAACCCTTCAGCATACTCTCTCCTCCCTCTGCCCGCCTCACCCTCCAGATCCTGTGGCTCCCGGACGGTTTTCGAGAGCAAGTGAAGCAGCGAGTGCCACGCTTCCGGCAGATCTATAAGCGGAAGAGGCTCAGCAACGAGACAGAGGAGACACTTCGGATCAACCTGCCCTACCAGAACCTGAGCAGTGCAGAAATCCAGTAAGAACTGGGGGTCAATGATGAGAATGGGAGGCTCGCATTTTAGGTTTTTGCATTTCGTGTTTGTGCAAGTTCCGCATACAGCACCATGGTCCATTCATTAGCACATGTGTGCATCCTTGCCCTCTGAGTTGAAAGACATCACAAGTCCATCTCCTCATTGTAGACATCAGCTACCTTGTTCATTCATTCCATTCATTTGTTATATTGTTTAACAATGATTTTTTTTCAGATTTCCTCATTATATGAAGGGCATCCATTAATGATTTCCCCCGACCCACTTCTATTTATCACAGGATACTGAAACTACATATGTGTAATGATATAAGTCTCTATAGGTTACGTGCTAATTTCCAACTCTGGCCTGAGAATGGTCTTGATTGTACAGGTGCTGAAGTGGTGTGAGGTTTGAGAATGGATCCACTGGAATGCAGAGCAGTCCTCCAGTTCCTTTCCTTGAAAGGCCGCACACCAAAGGAGACATTCGATGAAATGAAAGAGGTTTATGGTGAGGATTCCCCATCATATAATGAAGTCAAGAACTGACATCATCAATTCAAATGTGGTCGGACTTTGGCACAAACAACTCCAATTCCAGGGCAGCCCCACTCTGCTATTGATGAACACACAATCCAGCAAGTGGAGGTCGCCATTGTGGAAAATCACCATATGACCATTTGCAAGCTAGCTGAAAATGTCTAGATGAATGTGGGGTCCATGGAAAAAATAATCAAAGACCATCTTCCCATGCACAAGGTATCTTCTCGCTGGGTCCCCAGACTGCCCACACATTTCCAGAAGCAGGAACGAGTCAAATGCTCTCAGGCTCTATTTATAATTTTGCGCCATGGAAACCAAGAGGACTTTTTCAACAGACTGATCACATAAGGTGAAAGCTGGGTCCATCACTCTGATCCTGAGACTTAAGTCCAGTCAATGCAATGGAAGCATCCTGACTCACTGCCTCCAAAGAAGGCACATGCCCAACTCTCAGCAGGCAAGGTCATGCTCACAGTATTTTGGGACCAGCACGGAGTAGGATGGATGGATTTCCTAGCAAAGGGGACCATGATCACTGGGGCAGACTAGGCTTCGCTGCCATGGAAATTGCAGGAGGCCATCAAAACCAAGAGACAATGCAACATGCTCACCAAAGGAGTCCGCCTTCTGCAGGACAATGCACCAGTTCATAACTCACCTGTTGCCCAAATGGAAGCATGTTCCTGTGGCTTTGAAATTCTGCCTTGGTTAGACCACATCTGGAACATTGTGTCCAATTCTGAGCACCACAATTGAAGAGAGATATTGACAAGCTGGACTGTGCCCAGAGGAGGGCGACTAAAATGATCAGGGGTCTGGAAATCAAGCCCTATGAGGAGCGGCTTAAAGAACTGGGCATGTTTAGCCTGAAGAAGAGAAGGCTGAGAGGAGACATGATGAGAGCCATGTATAATTTTTTTCTGTATTGTCATTTAGCTTTTTGGGGGGTTTTAAGTCCTTTCCATTGTTTTTTGGGGGGGTGGTTATGAGTGATGGTCACTCGTTGGTCTGTTAGGGGTTTAGTGTCCAAATTTGGTGTCAATTCGTCCAGTGGTTTATGAGTTATGTTAATCCCTCAAACGAACGTTACATTTTTATTTAGTTTATATAGATTCATGTCATAACTTTGGAAGGATTTGGAGAGGGAATTGGCCAAGGTTAAGTTAATTTAAAGGGTGCACACCAAGAACATTCTAGTAGAAATGGTTGTAATGCATTAACATAAATATGGTCGCTTTGACAGTCACATTTCCCAGCCCTGGTAGCTCTCCAGGGATTGAATCATCCTCTTTGGTCGGCGGGGAGGTTAAGTCCTTCTTTTTTGCACCCGCATCTTCTCCCTGCAGGGAGTATCGCCGTGACAACATCTCTGTCAACCTCTATGTGGTGAACGCTCCCTGGCTCTTCTCCGTCTTGTGGTGCGCAGGCGTCTCATCCGTCACCACTAACGCCTGCCAGGAGCTGCAAGGGATGGCGCGGCCACTCTGGCTGCTGGTAAGACTGCCTTCATGGAGGGCATCATTCATTCATTCATTCATTCATTCATTCATTCATAGACAATCCCTGGTGGCCCATGAGTCTGATTGTCTCCCAGGGGTAGAGTCTTGGTGGTGGGTCCATAAGTGACTGCAGAGACCTAGTCTGGGATCCGCATGGCCTGTCACAATGTGGACATAAATTTCCAGGTAGAAGGGGGTCCCGACAAGAGTTTCCATCCTCTCGGAAGGGGGTCCTGACAAGAGTTTCCATCCATTTGCACTCTATTTGCGCTTCTTCAAAATCTGCCACACCAGGTTGCTGTGAGTTTTCCGGGCTGTATTATTAAAGTGCTTCCACTTGGCTGGTCAGCTATTACCAGCAATCATTCTAATATTGCTTTTGGATTGTTGTGAGTTCTCCAGGCTCTATGGCCATGTTCCAGAAGCATTCTGTCCTGACGTTTCACCCACATCTACAACAGGCATCCTCAGAGGTTGTGTGGTCTGTTGGAAACTAGGCAAACAGGGTTTATATATCTGTGGAATGTCCAGAGTGGGGGAAACAACTCCTGTCTGCTTGAGGCAAGTGTAGATGTTGCAGTTGGCCACCTTGATTAGCATTGAATGGCCTTGCAACTTCAAAGCCTGGCTGATTGCTGCCGGGGGGTCCTTTGTTGGGAGGTGTTAGCTGGCCCTGATTGATTCTTGTCAGGAATTCCTATTTTTTTTAGTGTTGCTCTTTTTCCCCCCAATACTTTTATTTTATTATTATTATTATTATTATTATTATTATTATTATTATTATTTTGTCGTGTCAGGAGTGACTGCAAGTTGCTCCTGGTGTGAGAGAATTGGCCATCTGCAAAGGCCAGCAATTCAGTGATTCTGGCCATGAAAGCCTTCGATAACACAGCACCGTTGGGCACAGCTAGCCACCAGTTAGATGCCTCTGTGTGTCTTTAAATGTGATCGGGAGGTAATCGCGACACATGGCTTTGGGCTGTTTGCCACATCCTTCCTCACAGTGTCCTTCCTGATTTGCGTTCCTGTCTCCGTCCTCTCCCCTCCAGCCTCGTGCCACGTACCGAATGATCTGGATCGTGACAGACTGCGTTTCCTTCTTGCTGGTCGCATGGGCCTTCCTTCTGCTGAAGTGAGTACAGTGATGTGTAGCAGTCAAAGTTCTCTCCATAATGTCTTCTAGAACTATCAATCCCTTTATGGCTACTCCTTCTATGCAAGGGAAAGGCTTTCGCATGGGTCCATCATCTACAGTGCTGTGGAATGCCTCTTGCTGAAAATGGCCATTGTTGCAGATGTTGCTGTTACTATATTTATATGCCGCTTTTCTCAGCCCTCAGGCAAGTCAAAGTGGTATTGCAAAGCAGTGTATTGCAGTTGTGCATTGTGAAGATGACACAATTGGGGTGTGTGTTTCACAGTGTTGCTATTTTGCACAGTCAGATAGTGCACACATGCGGATATAGTGAATATATCAAGGGGTTGTTGGATTGCTGCAATAGGATGATCACATTGTACACTAAGATCTCCCAAAGACCTCGACAGATCTCAGAGAACAAGGCCATCATTCTGCATCTAGTTCCAGAGCCATGGTTAGTTGGGGCTGGGCAGCTGTGAAGCAGAGAATTGGACACAAATACTTTTTCTGAAATTGTTGTTGTCGTCTTCTTCTTGCAGAAGATGGTCTCGGAGAAAAGACCCAGCAGGTAAGTGACTAAGCAGCTGGTACTAGCATTTTGGGGACTTAATATTAATGCAGTAATGTCACTACTGTACTTAATATTATTGTTGCCTGCCATAGCATTGCACTTAATTCCCGCCCCCCTTAGAATTTTTGGGCTTGCACAAATCTTGGCCCGGCCTTTCAAATTTTAAAATTTTGAAATTGCCTTGAACACGCAGGATTACTTTTAATATATGTGTGTTATGGCGACAATTTTAATAATAATAATAATAATAATAATAATAATAATAATAATAATAATCTTTATTTATACCCCGCTACCATCTCCCCAAGGGACTCAGTACGGCTTACATGAGGCCAAGCCCACAGTATATCAATAACAAAAGCAATTACGAAAACAATCAATACAATATTTATTTATTTATTTATTTCGCGCATTTCTACCCCACCCTTCTGAACCCCCGAGAAGGGACTCAGGGCGGCTTACAAAATGCACAATTCGATGCAAACAACAACAATAAAATAAAACATGTATCAAAAGCAATTATGAAACAATTAAAACAATCAAATTATATATCACAATCAATAAAACCAATCTAATGTTCAACATTCGCCAGCTCAGAATCCATAAATTCATTCCACATGGTCAAATCCTATCAATTCTAGTTGTCATTGTCCTTTGTCTATCTGCCAGATTACCCAAAGGCCTGGTCCCATATCCATGTTTTTAGTTTCCTTCTGAAAGAGAGGAGGGATGTCGATGATCTGATTTCCCTGGGAAGTGAATTCCACAGGCAAGGGGCCACCACCGAGAAGGCCCTGCTCTTCGTCCCCACCAATCTCACTTGTGATAGAGGTGGGGCCAAGAGCAGGGCCTCTGCAGAGTATCTTAAACTCCGAGGCAGGATGTAGAAGGAGATGCGTTCGGACAGGTACGCTGGGCTAGAGCCGTATAGGGTTTTGTAGGTCAAAACCAGCACTTTGAATTGTGCTCAGAACTGGATCGGCAGCCAGTGGAGCTGACACAACAGAGGGGTGGTATGTTCCCTGTATGACGCTCCGGTGAGTAATCTGGCTGCCGCCCGTTGGACTAATTGAAGTTTCCGAACAGTCTTCAAAGGCAACCCCACGTAGAGTGCATTGCAGTAATCTATTCGGGATGTAACAAGAGCGTGGACCACTGTGGCCAGATCAGACTTCCCAAGGTAGGGCGCAGCTGGCACAAGTTTTAATTGTGCAAAGCTCTCCCGGCCACCGCTGAGACCTGGGGTTCCAGGCTCAGCGATGAGTACAGGATCACTCCCATAAACAAAAAAAACCCTATAAACAATCAACAGTTACACACATGCTTATATTTTGTTTCGTTAATCTTATGGTTATGTTGTTTTTACTTTGTATGTTTTGTGATGTTACCTGGGAATCGCTCTGAGTCCCCTCGGGGAGATGGAGCGGTATATAAATAAATTATTATATTATTATTATTATTATTATTATTATTATTATTATTATTATTATTATTATTGAGTATCTGTACAAATAGCTCAATTCTTTTTGCTAACGAAGTCTCTAAAACCCTCAAAAGGAATTTCCTTGGTTCAGACTGGCGAGCTAACCATCACCTCCTTGGGCTTCCAGGCTCCGATTCAGACGTCCTCTTGACCAAAATCCACAGTCTGTTGTCCGAGTGACATGGGATCTCCTTTCTGCAGCTGGCTTTGGGTCAGGACCCTGTCTCTTCTTCCAAGGATGCCTTTTGTGGAAATGGCTCGAGGCTGGGACCCAGTGGCAACAGAAGCGAGAGAGTTGACTTGCGTTGCTTCAGAGTCGAGAGGAGGAACGGCCTCCGTCCAGGACTTCCACAGTCGATTGTATTGGCTGTCTTCTAATTCGGCATCTCCTTTCGGACCCAGGAACCCATGCGAAAGCATTGCAGCAACTGCCTTGGAAGGGTGACTTGTGGGGAAGGTGGTAGGCATCTCTAAGTGTGTCTGAAGCACTTCTGAATAAAGCAACCTGTGAGCTGGGAAAGACTGGGACAGAGGCAAGCTGGCCTCATAGAATCATAGCATCATAGAGTTGGAAGAGACCTCATGGGCCATCCAGTCCAACCCCTTGCCAAGAAGAAGGAAAATTGCATTCAAATCACCCCTATTTTCCCCAAACTCCACCAGTGTTCACATTTGGGCATATTGAGTATTCGTGCCACGTTTGGTCCAGACAGAGGCGGCCCTAGGTAATTTTCAACGGTAAGCAAACAGTATTTTGTGCCCCCCCCCCCACAACCAATTACATATATATATATATATTGTTCACCTACAATCAAAGAGCATTCCGAACTCCACCAGTGATGGAATTGAACCAAATATGGCACACAGAGCTCCCACGACAAACAGATATATATATATATATATATATATATCATATATATTCTGTTCGTTGTGGGAGTTCTGTGTGCTATATTTGGTGGTTCAATTCCATCACTGGTGGAATGCTCTTTGATTGTAGGTGAACTATACATCCCAGCAACTACAACTCCCAAATGTCAAGGTCTATTTTCCCCAAACTCCACCAGTGTTCACATTTGGGCATATTGAGTATTCGTGCCACGTTTGGTCCAGACAGAGGCGGCCCTAGGTAATTTTCAACGGTAAGCAAACAGTATTTTGTGCCCCCCCCCCACAACCAATTACATATATATATATATATATATATGTATAATTTTCAACAGTAAGCAAACAGTATTTTGGTCCCCTCCCCCCCTCCAAACCAATCACTGATATATATTTTCTGTTCGTCGTGGGAGTTCTGTGTGCCATATTTGGTTCAATTCCATCATTGGTGGAGTTCAGAATGCTCTTTGATTGTAGGTGAACTATACATCCCAGTAACTACAACTCGCATATGTCAAGGTCTATTTTCCCCCAAGAGCGCCTCAAGAGCGCCCCTTGGCAAAATCAACTATACTGCAAATGCTTACTTTGCGTAATGGGTTGAGCCGCCCCTGCCAGTAGGGCAGCTTTTTTGCAACAGTGCTGTTTGAATGTAGGTGAACTACAACTCCAAAACTCAAGGTCAATGTCCACCACACCTTTCCCGTATTTTCTGTTGGTCATGGGAGTTCTGTGTACCAAGTCTGGTTCAGTTCCATCATTGGTGGAGTTCAGAATGCTCTTTGATTGTAGGTGAACGATAAATCCCAACAACTACAACTCCCAAATGACAAATCAACCCCACCCCCATCCCCGCCGGTATTCACATATTGGGTGTTTGTGCCAAATTTCATCCAGTGAATGAAAATACATCCTGCATATCATATATTGACATTAAGATTCATAACAGTACCAAAATTACAGTTGTGAAGCAGCAACAAAAGAATTTTTGGTTGGGGGTCATAACAACGTGATGAACTGTATTCAGGGGTTGTGGCATTAGGAAAGTTGAGAAACACAGTCCTAGACAGAAGTCTGCAATCTGGCAGCTCCTGTTCTGTTCCGGCCTCAAATGCAATGCAACGTGTTGCTTCTGCCTTCTCTGTTCTAGTCCAGCAACAGAAGTAGTCACTTGAGTTTGTAACTACCAGTAAATTGTGGCTTGATGTGATAGAAATAGGGATGAGGGTGACTGTTGGTTGCCTTCACAGAAAGCAACCAGCCACATTCCACAGTTGGATCATTTCAATAGGCTGTAAACAATAGTTTGCCTGATGTTGGGACTTAATCAATGAAATTGTTCCTTGCGAATGGAAGCAGATCCATCCATCTCAAGAAGGGAGAGCCAAATGTTGACAGCCAGAGGACTCCCAGGATATCTTTGCAACCCACTAGTTTGGGTGAATAAACTCTGCTCAGGAATTGAAGGGCCAGATAATCCAATATGATGAATGCAAATATTCACATCATGATACAATGCCATTATGGACACCTGAAGTCTGCCTTCTAGATGTTTGGTTGGGAAGATTAAATTAATTCTGTACTCCTGGCCTTGACCGGCAGGTGGAGGCATTTCCCCATTGGTGTGACAAAGGCCTTCAAGTTGCTTTTTGACTTTAGGCAACTATGTAAAAAGTGTGGACTCTGGATGCCATCCTAAGATCTGACATCCCAACATTTCTAGGGGTTTTATTTGCAATTCTTGGTGGTCCACATGGCTCCAGGAAGGTTCCAGGAACATAAACTGGACCTTAAATTCCTCACAGTTGTTGACACTTGTTCTAGACCAGCGTTTCTCAACCTGGTTGGGAGGGGGTCACAAGAAGGGTGTCAGAGGGGTCATCAAAGACCATCAGAAAACAGTATTTTCTGTTGTTCATGGGGGTTCTGCATGGGAAGTTAGGCCCAACTCTATTGTTGGTGGGATTCACAATACTAATTGTAGGTGAACTATAAATCCAAGCAACTACAACTCCCAAATGTCAAGGTCTATTTTCCCCAAACTCCACCAGTGTTCAGATTTGAGCATATTGAGTATTCGTACCAATTTTGGTCCAGATTCATAATTGTTTGAGTCCACAGTGCTCTCTGGATGTAGGTGAACTAGAACTCTCAAAGTCAATGTCCACCAAAAGCTTCCAGTATTTTCTGGAAGGATTCTGTGTGCCAAGTTTGATTCAATTTCATCGTTGGTGGAGTTCAGAATGCTCTTTGGATGTAGGTGAACTATAAATCCCAGCAACTACAACTCCCAAATGTCAAGGTCTATTTTCCCCAAACTCCACCATTGTTCAGATTTGGGCATTTTAAGTATTCATACCAATTTTGGTCCAGATCCATCATTGTTTGAGTCCACAGTGCTCTCTGGATGTAGGTAAACTAGAACTCCAAAACTCAAAGTCAATGTCCACCAAACCCTTCCAGTATTTTCTGGAAGGGTTCTGTGTGCCAAGTTTGGTTCAATTTCATCGTTGGTGGAGTTCAGAATGCTCTTTGGTTGTAGGTAAACTATAAATCCCAGCAACTACAACTCCCAAATGACAAAATCAATCCCAACCCCACCAGTATTAAAAATTGGGCGTATTGGGTATTGGTGCCAAATTTGGTCCAGTGAATGAAAATACATCCTGCATATCAGATATTTGCATTAGTATCAAAATTACAGTTATGAAGTAGAAAAAAATGTTATGGGGGGGGGGGGTGTCCACAACATGAGAAACTGTATTAAGGGGTCACGGCATTAGGAAGGTTGAGAACCACTAGCCTAAAAGCTAAGGTCTGATTTTGTGCCTTCAAGTTGCTTGTCGACTTATGGCAACCCTGTGAAAATTGTGGACTCTGGGTGCCATCCTGAGATCAGACATCCCAACATTCCAGCCATTTTTTGGTGTTTTTAATTGGTATTCTTGGTGGTCCAGGGACATAAAACCGGCCCTTAAACTCCTCACAGCTGTTGACACTTGTTCTAGATGAGGGGTCCTCAAACTAAGGCCCGAGGGCTGGATACGGCCCTCCAAGGTCATTTACCCAGCCCTCACTCAGGATCAACCTAAATCTGAAACAACTTGAAAACACACAACAACAATCGTATCTCATCAGCCAAAAGAAGGCCCACACAATTCCCATTTGAATACTAATAAGGTTTTATTTGTTAAAATTCTTCATTTTAATTATTGTATTGGATTGTTGTAGGTTTTCCGGGCTATATGGCCATGTTCTAGAGGCATTTTCTCCTGATGTTTTGCCTGCACCTATGGCAAGCATCCTCAGAGGTGGTGAGGTCTGTTGGAAGTAGGAAAATGGGTTTATATATCTGTGGAAAGACCAGGGTGGGACAAAGGACTTTTGTTTGCTGGAGCTAGGTGTGAATGTTTCAACTGACCACCTTGATTAGCATTTAATGGCTTGGAACTGCCTGGGGGAATCTTTCTCTGAGAGGTGATTTGATGTGCCTGATTGTTTCCTCTCTGTTGTTTTGCTGTTGTAATTTTTGAGTTTTTTAATACTGGTAGCCCGATTTTGTTCATTTTCATGGTTTCTTCCTTTCTGTTGAAATTGTCCACAACAGAGAGTAAACAATCAGGCACATCCAATCACCTCTCAAAAAAAGATTCCCCCAGGCACTTCCAAGCCATTAAATGCTAATCAAGGTGGTCAGTTGAATCATTCACACCTAACTCCAGCAGACAAAAGTCTTTTGTCCCACCCTGGTCTTTCCACAGATATATAAACCCATTGTCCTATTTCCAACAGACCTCACCATCTCTGAGGATGCTTGCCATAGATGCAGGCGAAACGTCAGGAGAAGATGCCTCTAGAACATGGCCATATAGCCCGGAAAACATACAACAACCCAGTGATTCTGGCCATGAAAGCCTTTGACAATATAATTATTGTATTGTTTTTAAGTGTGTGTTTTTGTTTTGTTTTTTTGCATTACAGATAAGATATGTGCAGTGTGCATAGGAATTGATTTATTATTTTTTCAAATTATAATCTGGCCCTCCAGCAGTTTAAGGGATTGTGATCTGGCCCTCTTTAAAAAGTTAGACGACCCCTGATCTAGACCTAAGTTGAGAATCTGGACCTGCAGAATAGGTTTGCTTTCACCTGCTGGAAATGCTGAAATGCTCACCGACATGCCCAGGTTAAGCCATTCCACAGAACCCCCCTATTTCTACTAATTCACAGAGAGACACTCCCAAGACCTTCCTCCGAGTTGCTCTTTGACTAAAAACTATTACAAGTAGGAGCATAGTGTCTAGATCTAGGGAAGTCATGCTACCCCTCTATTCTGCTTTGGTTAGACCACACCTGGAATATTGTGTCCAATTCTGGGCACCACAATTGCAAGAGAGATATTGACAAGCTGGAATGTGTCCAGAGGAGGGCGACTAAAACGATCAAGGGTCTGGAGAACAAGCCCTATGAGGAGCGGCTTAAGGAGCTGGGCATGTTTAGCCTGAAGAAGAGAAGGCTGAGAGGAGATATGATAGCCATGTATAAATATGTGAGAGGAAGCCACAGGGAGGAGGGAGCAAGCTTGTTTTCTGCTTCCTGGAGACTAGGACGCAAGGGAACAATGGCTTCAAACTACAA